CCACTCACAACCTACCCATGGAGCAAGTAAGAAGACTGAGGCCCGCCCACCCCAGGTCTGCCAACCGGACTTCACCTGTTGTTTCTCTGTCTCGAAGGGAAGCTTTGGGATCAGGAGGTTACCAGAGCTCCATAGCTGCCAATGATGATAATCTTTTCGAAACCTCCATGGTCTTTCTACAGCTCAGTTCCTTAACCTGAGTAAATCGGGAGTGATCATACGTAAAAGTTTAAAGCTAGGATGTCAGCTGTAGGACTTGTCTGTTTTGTTCCTTGCTGTATCCCCAGCACCCAGAACAGCGCTTGAAAAACAGTAGGTGCCCGATAAGTTTTTACTAAGTGCATGGATGGATGTTTTATTCCTCCCCACAGCTCCTCCAAGTTTCCTAATAGCCCGTAGCACTTTCAGCTCAAAGGCTCAGTAACTTAGTCCTGGAATGGTAACAGCGTAGCCCCCAGGATACATATTGAGCTGAGTGCCTGACCCCTGGGCTTACCTGGGGGCCTCACAGATACCTCACACCTTGCACCAGCATCAGAGGAAGGTGATAGAATTTGAATTATTGCAGAGAGGAGGAGACTGAGGCTCAAAGAGGGGCAGCCATTTGGTTAGATCACATTTCTAGGCCTATTCCTAAGAAAGATGGGATGACGTTAGGTCCCAACTTGGATGCCGGGCACCCTCAGGCCACAGAGCCAAGGTCTGATGTCCTTTGTCTCCCTGTGAAAAGTTTGAGTGTTCCATTTCTACTCTTCATGGCCTACATGGACTCACTGATTCAGTCGACATACATTTATTGAGCACCTGCTGTGTGCCAGAGCCTGCACTGGGTACTCAGGCACAGCGCTCACCAAGCCAGCCCTGGCACCTGCTCGTAGGAGGCAGACTAGTCTACAACAGTTCTCAAGGTTGTGGCCCAGCCCTTCAGGTGATATGATGCAAGCTCAAGCTGGAGGACTACTGCTATAATGCAAAATATGGGGCAGACTTTTTCTGCAAAGGGCCAGATAGAAAATATGCTCTGCTTTAGGCTTTGAGGGCCAGACGGTCTCAAAACTCAACTCTGCCATAGCACAAAATCTGCCAAAGACCATACAGAAACAATGAGCATGACTGTGCTCCAATAAAACGTTATTTTATGGACACTGAAATTTGCATTTTGTATAACTTTCATGTGAAACAAAATATTCTTCTTGAGATTTTTTCCAACCACTTAAAACATGTAAAAATTACAGAAAAACTGGAAAATGCTGGTTTTGGCCTGCAGGCTGTAGTCTGCATATGACAAGGGCATTGCCAGAAACGCTATGATTTGAAGGTTCAGAATCAGCCTGCCTAAGTTCAAATCCTAGGTCTGTCACTTACTAGAAGACCTCAGGAGACTGACTTCATCTCTGTAAGCCTCTGTTTCCTCATCTGTAAAATGGGTGTAATAGGATGGTTGTGAGGATTGAATACTAATATTAGTTGACACGTATAGACCTCCTCCATACACTAGGTGCTGTTCTAGCACTTTATGTCACATTACTTTGTGAGACTTTGGACACATTACTTAATTTCTCTGGGTTTCGGTTTTCTCATCTGCTCTTGTGAACATCTGACTTAGAGTCATTGCACACAGGGTAACAGTACTAGGCACTGCTCCAAAAGCTGGGGACACAGCACGCAACACAATAGACAAAAGCCCCTGCCATCATGGAACTGAAATCCAAGTGGGGGAGACAGATGGAAAAAACATAAGCAAATATATGTCTGATGGTGATGGCAGTCTTACAGAAGACTAAAGCAGGATACATGGCTTGAGTTTGAAGGGTAATATTTGGGTTAGGAAGTTTAGGGAGGGTCTAAGGTGACATCTGAGCAGACAGCTGAGACAGTGAAGGATCCATGTGGATATCTAGGGAAGAGTGTTCAAGGCACAGGGAAGAGCAAGTGCAAAGGCCCTGGGGTGGGAACATGCATGGCATGTTGAAGGAACAAATCACAAGGAGGCTGGAGTGGAGGGACAGCTGGGGAAGTAGTGGAGATGGATAATATTAAGTTTAAGGAAGCGAACCACACGCAGCACTTAGACTAGAGCTTGGCTCATGATAACAACTGTTGAATCGTGGCTCCTAAGTGTAGGAGTAGGAGCCTACCCAATTCCCCTCTGCCCCTTGAAATGTCAGGCCTCACAACTGTTTGTTGCGTCAACGGCTGAAAGGACACATCAGAAATCCTCAGCGTTCAGGATTTCTGTGGGGCTCTGAGCCCCATGAGGGCAGGCCTGAGGCTGTCTTGATCCCTGCTGTGTACACAGAACCCCCAGCTCAAAGCAATGTCCAGGGGAGGGGCTCAAGGAACATTTGTTGACTGACTGTATGTCAGTCTCTCCACTGATGTCTTAATGCAGACCTCATTAAGGTCCACACTTCTGGCTGTGTGCCTGTGTCTGTGAAAGTCAGGATTGTGCAAACATGCACTCAGCAAATGACCCCAGAGCGACTCCTCTTGTGCCGTGGACACAGCAGTGACCAAGAGAGCTCTGGCTCTGTCCTCACAGGGCTCAGTCCAGTGGAGAAAGACCTGTCTCCAGGTGGTGATGACCCACAGCAGGCAGGGCTGGGATGTGGGAACCCAGGGAGCTGGTGGGTGGGGGGCAGTGTCCCAGAGGAGGTGGTCAGGAAGGGTTTCCTGGAGGAGGAGCCATGGAGCTACAACCTGGAGGATGCATAGGGTAAGGTGAAGAGTTGCGTGCCTGGAGGTGTGTCTCAGTTTAGGGAAGGGTGCCAGGAGGTAAGTGGTCACAGCTAGTTAGAGCAAGGGAGATGAGGCTGTAGGAGTTGTAAGGCCCTTCCCCCCAAGGTATCGTTCACCACAGTTAGCAGCCTGGGCTCTTCTCCCAAGGGTACTGGGGAGCCATGGTAGGTTCTGAACAAAGAACGGGCAGGGTCAAGTTTGTGCTTCAGAAAGTTCTGGCTGCTGGGGACTTCCCTGGTTGGTCAGTGGTTTAGAATCCTCCTGCCAATGCAGGGGACATGGGTTCCATCCCCGGTCCAGGAAGATCCCACATGCCGCGGAGCGACTAAGCCCGTGCGCCACTGCTACTGACGCCTGTGCGCCTATAGCCCATGTTCCGCAACAAGGGAACCCACCACACTGAGAAGCCCGCACACTTCAACGAAGCTCGCCGCAACTAGAGAAGGCCCGCGCGCAGCAACAGAGACCCAAATCAGCCAAAAATAAATTTTTAAAAAATGGTTAAGATGGTAAAAAAAAAAAAAAAAAAAAAAACCCCGTGCTTCCACTGCAGGAAGCACTAACTTCCACTTAGTTCCTGGTCCAGGAACTAAGACCCCACACGTGGCCCGTGCTGGATGAAAAGTGAATGGGAGGGGCAGGGGACCAGGGAGGAGGCTGAGTTGAGTTCCTGGTCCAGGAACTAAGACCCCACACGTGGCCCGTGCTGGATGAAAAGTGAATGGGAGGGGCAGGGGACCAGGGAGGAGGCTGAGTTGGGATCCCAGGGTATGAGGAGGAGCCGGGACCGGGTGGTCTCAGTGCAAGTGAAGAGGTGAGAATGCCAAGCAATTGTTGGGTACAGCTGACAGGCCCTGCCAAAGACTGTGGGATGAGGATTTGGGCAGGGGGTAGGCCAGTGAGTTTAGGTGGCCTGAGAGCCGACACCCTGCTTGGTTCTTTGAGCTCAGCAGGTACTGATGCACAGCAGGGAAGGGAGTGGAGCAGGTCTGTGGCTGCCTCAGCGATGGAGCCTGCAGGGTGTGTGTGTACATAGGTGTCTGCACACAACTCTCCTGGGACCTCGTGGATTCCCTGCCTGGCTCTGCAGGGCACTGTGGTGGTGGAGCCCAGGGGAGCCTGGCTCGGTTCCCAGCCCCGGGCCTCCTCTCCCGGAAGTGTTGATGAGAACACCTGCCCCCCGCTCAAAAAAAAAAACCTGGGAATGTGGGGTCCCAACCCCTCAGAGTGCAGGGTCACCCAGGGGCCTCAGTCTCCTCATCCATAAAGTGGGTGAACAGTTCTGGTACCCAGCTTGTTGGGAAGGCATATGTGCCATATACTAAGAGTCTGGCTGGGTCCTTGGCACAGGCAGCCCTGAGGGTGCTGATGGCACTCCAACAGCTATGGCCACTACAGCTGGGCACCACTCTGAGCCAGGATTCACTCCCAGGGTCCCCTGGAGACGAGCTCATAAGCCCAGAGAAGCAAGGTCAGGCAGCCACGGTCCCAGGATTGCTGAACAAGGCAGGCTAATGGGACTGTATCAGTGGTGGGTAGGCGCTCCTGCCCTGCCGGGCTGTGTGAGGCCAGGAGATAAACAGTGGCACAGGCGAGGCTCCGCGCCTCGGCAGGCCTCGTGGTTAAGAGCACTGGTGTGGTGAGATCGTGGTGAGCAGCTTCCCAATCTGTGAAATGGGGACGGTTACAGAAGCCCCCTCAGAGGGCTCCTGGGAGAGGGAGAAGGAGGAGAAAGGGGCCTGGCCCAGAGGGTCACTGTCCCCAGTTTAGCATGTCCCGCGTCCTGCAGGTCTCCCTGCCAGACTCAGGAGAGACACCCCCACCTGCTCTCCAAGGTGGCAGGGGAAGGAAGGCACAAGACGGGGGGCTCTGTTGAGTTTAAGTTAAACACCCATATGAATTTATTAAATCCAGACTGTGTTAAAGGGCGGCGGTCTGGGAGGAGGGAGTGGTGGGGGATCGAGGGACAAGATGATGGACGGCCGTGCGTGTCCCAAAGAGGGGCCCGGCCCCTGCCCCGCCTGGCCCACCCCCGTCGGCAGTGCCATGTCAGCTTCACCATGATTCCCGATGGTGTTGGGCTGGCGGGGCGAGATGGCTGGAAACACGGAGGGACAGACAGACAGACGGCGCCTCCACAAACGACGCGCCCTGGCCCCCACACCACACGCTGGGCCCCGGCCCGATCTGTCCAGGGAAAGGGCGACCGGGAGGGGAGGTGAGGGGGCCAGGGCGGCGGGGGTGGGGGTCACCAGGAGCGGCTAATCCCGTTTTTTGTCCTCTGCTGGCTTTGGAGGGGCTTCCTGGGGCTCGCTGTCAGAGGTGGCCCCCTGGGTGGGCCTGGTGGGTGGGGGTGTGGAGGCCTCCTCCCTGACGGCTGCGGTGGTCGTGGTGGGGGTGGGGGCCGGCGGGGGGGCGGGGCCTCGCCACTCATGCCAAACTCGTTCACCCGCGTGGGGTCGACGCGGTAGATCCACCGTTGGTAGAGGTAGATGAAGAAGACCACATCTGGGGGCGGGGTGAGGGGGCGGGGTGAGGGGGCGGGGCAGGGCCCAGCCAGCTCACTGTCAGGCTCGGGGCTGGGGGGGGCCTGCAAAGAGTGGGCTGAGTCCCCAGGCCGAGGCCGGCACGCCTCCCTCAGACCAGGGCCCTGCCCGTGCCCAGCTCTGGTGGGAGCCTGCCGGCCAGCCCAACCACCTGCCCACCGGGCCTCACCGTCCCGCAGGCAGCCGATCCGGTACATAACAGGCATCTTGATGACAAAGGCGAACAGGTCATCAATGAAGGTGTTGAGGGCCTTGTAGGTGAGCATGCGCCAGGGCAGGTGGGCCACAGACTTGAGCTTGTAGTTGATGAAGAGCTGGGGTGTCATGGTGATGAAGCCTGCGGCGGTGAGGAAGGGGCGTCCGTGAGCAGAGGGAGGGGCATCCTGACCCTCCACCTCTTTGACTGCATTTCTGGCCTCTGTCCCTTCACTCACTCTGTTCCAGCCACACTGGGCCCCGGGCTGCTTCCAACACCCCAGGCACATCCTACCTCAGGGCCTTCGGACTTGCTCTGCCTTCTGACAGATCTCTGCACAGCTCCTTCCTTGGCACCTTTCAGGCCTCAGTTTACGTACCATCTCTCAGAGAGGTGATGACGGAGGTCAGGGACACCTGACCAGCCTCCACGGCCCTCTCACTCTGGTCCCTTCAGAGCACTCATCACAGGCTGTAACTCACCTGTCTGTTTGTTTACTCTGTCCGTTCCCTTGAGGACGAGGACTGAAATGCACTGTCCAAGGCTTCCCGGAAGCCCTCCCTGACCCCCAGACCGGACCGGGCACCTCTCTGAGGCTGTCCACGTGCCACCCCTGCTCCCCCTGAAGTGTCCCTCTCTGGAGACAGGTCTGTCTCCTGCACTGGACCCCAAGTGCCGGGAGGGCGGGGCCAGGCTGACTCGCTCACTGCCGAGGCCCAGCACGGCCCAGCACGCGGCTGAGGACTGCTGCTGGACGCCTGCCCTGACTGCGGGGGCCGCGTATGGTGAGGGCCTGCTCACCGAAGGGCAGCAGGAAGCCATAGAGCAAGCCGAG